TATTAGTGTGTTTTCTTAATTTGCTGGTGTTTTTTCAATTTGCATGTTTTTTCTTAAGTTGCAGCGCGTTGAGCTCTCTCGGCCACCGTAGTATTCACAATCAAGCAAACAAATAAAAATTAGGAAGAGCTAAGAGAGTGGATTTTCTTAAAATTCAGGGCTTGCAATAATCATGGGTAAAAAACATCTACTGTTTTGTGGCATTAAAAATACACACTAATAAATTAATTAATATCCAATAGTTAGTTAACTGCAAAAGTTAACTGCAAGTCTAAATAAGTATTTTCAAACACTTACAGTGCGGTCATGGTCAAGAGAGACATGTGGATCTTCTTCACTTTGTTTTTGGACACACAGTTGCACAAGGACACATTACCAATGTGCTCACAAGGCCACTTCTCCTCTGCACGCACTCTGTTCTCACTCTCCTCTGTGGAAAAACAAAAAATTATTCATACTCAAATTTTAATGACCAAATATCCTCAAAATAACCCACCAGACAGGTGGCTATAGATTTGGACTCTACAGCACAAAATATAATAATTATGCATTATAGCCAGATGAATGAGCCAAAGGTTATTGTCAGTTACAACTGCTAGTTCACATACAAATCACAGCACATAATTTTAAAATGTACTTGTGAACATTTAAAGGCAGAGTAAGTGATTTCTGGTAGCCAATGTTGATATTTGAAATCCCCAAAACAAACACGCCCCGAACTGAACGCGCTCTCCTCCACATCACGAGTAGACACGGCCCTTATTGCTGATTGGCTACAAGTTTGTTTTGCGATTCGGCCCGAATCAGTTTTCTAAAGTGTTTTGGAAAAATCACTTACTCTGCCTTTAAAAAGTGATATTTGAAAATCCACCTTCTTCCTTATTTCATAGCTAAAAGAAATACACAGACTGCCACAGAGTGGACAGTGAAGTGAACTGCAAGTTTGAGGTAGAGTGACAGTATTGTCTTCATTTAGTTTATCTTGCCTCACATTTTGCTTTCCTTTCAAGACAATTTCTATATATAGTAAAAAAAAAAATGCAGATCTGAAACATCTGTACAAGCTCGCTTGACAACATTTTTACTGACATAGAAGGCTCAACACATCAGAACCAGGGCTGCCTTCAGCCCCGACAAAACGGTGCAAAATTTTTTTTAAACGGAAACGGTGGTGCGTTGAACACCCTGTTCTGATGACGCAAGAGTTGCGATTATGGCAGCTGAGAAGGCCATTCTTTGTGTTCTTTTTGAAGAATTTTCGGAGCCTGATTAAATCGGTATAAAAAAGTGTTTAATACTGCAAAATTCAAACCGGAAACTGTAGCAAAACGGTGCAATTTGAGCTTGAATTTGCCCCAGATTAGATCCAAGAGAGAAAAAAATATATAGGCCTATGAAAGGCTAAATAAATAAACAAACAAATAAATAAATAGTGGACAATACAGATTTTTTAAATACAATTTTTAATTAATTTTTGTATTTTTAAAAAATTAGTATTTTTGATGTATATATTTCTAAAAAAAAAAAAAAATTATAAAATTATATCTGATTATAAAGCCTAAACAGAGAAGGGGATTTAAGAATCTAAATTTATGTAGGTCTATATAATATTTTTTGCAAACATTTGAAAAAAACAAAAACAAAACCGGTCATTATTTGTAACGCCTCGCGACGTCATCAAATACAGATGACACTTGAGTCGCGCAGATTAGCATATACAGGCCTGTTGGTGTAAATAAATAAACATTACAAGTTTCATATAAAATGTAGGCCTATATTATAGATCTATACGTACTTTTAAATAAAAATTATTACATTCAAACAATTACATTTAATACCCTACTCGAAAAGCCCAATATTTTACATTACAGTTACAATGTTAAATTTGTAAATGTAAATAAATATAAATCACAAAATTTCCATACAAAAATATATTAAATACATTTTGTGAATTTACATATATATATATATATATTTTTTTTTTTTTGACTGAAGCGTTATATTAGAAGATAAATGAATTTGTATAGTAATGTACAATATGTTTTCAGCTAATAGGTATGATAATCATAACGATTAAATCTCGTGCACATTACTCCAGGAAATCTGTTTAGCAACCACTCCTGCTGAAGAAAATCTCTCCTCATTCTACGGTAAACTCCATTTTAACCTTGTTTCCCCGCAATGGCTGGTGGGTAAATTTTCTGTCCACTACCCGTGAAGTGATTGCTGTGTCTCATTTAGAAGGCTGTGCCCTCCGGAGGTCGCATTCGAAGGCTGCATACGTCATCGAGGCTGTCTCATTTCAGAAAAGCAAGTAGGACACTCCGAATGCGACCTTCTTTCACAGGAATTCGGAGGATGCATGAGGGATGCGACCTCCGGAGGGCGCAGCCTTCTAAATGAGACACAGCAGGTCGCTGTAAGCATAGATATATATACATATCTATGGCTGTAAGGTACACTTGAAGAGTTCATTTGCAAAAACCGATAAACGCCACTTTGCCGTGCATTGTTCTCCACATATAGCATGATCTGAACCCTAAACACATTTTGTCAAAAAAGCCAGTTTTGTCCACTTTCCAGGCATCGCAAGTTCACGTTTTACTGCAGTAGCCGACTTCTTCTTCTTTAAATTTTATTGGCGGTTGGCAAACCAACTTAAAGGTGCATTTACCGCCACCTACTGGACTGGAGTGTGGGCAGTACCCTGAGAGAAGGGACTGCAGAAGCCGGCAAGTGCCGTTGTTG